TCTGAATCTCGCGACAAATTGGCCGGATGACGTTGCCCGAATTGCACCAATGACAATTTATTTTTACCAAAAGAGCCACTTGGTCAGTGCTCCGGTGCTCCTGATATCGATTAATATTCAATAACGTCATTTTTAATCTAAAATTGTAGACTAACAATATTTTTTATATTCCTTCATTTTAATCTCCACGTTGAGCCAACATAAATGGTACCTAAGTGACGGATGGGTGATCTAGCTGGTAGCCAGTTGGCACTGCTAAACTAGGTGCCGTTTGGAGAATGTATATTGTATACCTACATTAACTGCTTTCAATGAGTCTCAACTCAAGATCATATCTGATTCTGAGGCCTGAGCCACTCATGCAAGGTCGTGGCCTCGTGGCCCATGGAGTCCCTGCGGATGCTGAATGTTTCACAGGTGGGATTAATCCTATTTTTGAGGTTGTACTGTTTGAATAATTTTATCTGATAAATAAGAAGTAGTAACATTTGTCTCATTATCATGTAGAAAAAGTTTGATTAAAAAAAAACATGAATGCCTCTCGGAACTTGTGCTTTTAAATTTTCAAATAAGACTTTCTAGGTAATAATAAGAGATGGTTACTATGCTACTCCTTAGTCCTTACTTATATTATAATTGTCTCTCAGAGTTACTTACAAATTTATCTGACATTGCACTGTTGACTGTTGAGTGTTGAAGATAGGTAGGTGTAAGGTAGGTACCTATGTACCTAGTCCTACTAGGTAGCTGCTTGAATCTTTGGTCAAGGCTACTATGCTGCTTAATACAATTTTGGTATGCAGCATATTCATTTTATCATAGCTTTGAGTCAAATAATCAACAAATGCCTATAGTGAGTCATGGGTTGAATGAAATAAGTTCAATAAAAATGTCGTGTGAGTCATGAGTTGGTTTGAATCTATTCATCAAAATGTGTGAGTCATGAGTTGATTCGAATCATTCCGTTGGCTAGTTGCTCGAGTCATGAGTTGATTCGAATCATTTTATCGAGGAACTTGATGAGTCATGAGTTGATTCGAATCAATTAAATTTAACATCATGAGTCGTTTGATGAATCGATTCAAATTTTCAGACTCAAACAAAGAATCGACTAAAAAAAAATTGAGTCGCTTACAAGTCTGGCCGACGGCGTGCACAGCTCAGCTGTCTTAGCTCAATCGTAATAGAGTAGAATCATTACATATATGCAATTGCTACTATTTCCTGGTTTTCTTTATAGGTCAAGGCTTGGTAACTGATAACTCTGCTGCCCTGTAATGGGTCCGGCCCGCTGTCGCGAGTGAAGACACTCGCACTGACTGACTGGACCGCCAGCCGAGACGCTGCTGACTCTGGTGGTGAATGGTGAGCGGAAGAGGAGAAAGTTTACGCCAAAGCTGAAGCAACTCTACATTGCTGTACAGCTAATACGCTTTTCACCTGGTGGCCAGTAGAGGAACTAACAGTTACTACAACTGACCGTCAGAAGCACCCAACACACACCGTGCCGCTCCCAGTAACATACCAGGATGTAGACCCCAGTCGGGCAGCGCTCCGGCGTCCGGCAGCCGCAGCTGGTCCAGCAGTGACAGCAGCCGGCCGGCGCTGCCCTCCGGCGCCGTCCGACAGGCGTTCACGGCCACCACCCTGACGGACAGACGTTACACGGTCAGCAAAGAGACGACACTCGGTCAGCGGACAGTGGCGTTGGGTCACCGGATGGCAGAGCATCGCCGCAGCACACAGACCAGACAGGACTGTGCCGACAACGCAACCCCGTTGGAGTAACATGACCCTAATAAATGCACCGAAAATGCTCTGGGGCCGTATTCACGTCGACTTCGTAAGTCGATTTTCTTTCGTAAGCATAATTTGGCATTCACGTCGGCACTTCTTAAGTTTTTATCGACGAAGTTCACGTGAATAAAAAAATTTACATAAGAAGTAGGTCAAACTTGAGAAAATTCTTACGAAAATGATCGACGTGAATACGGCCCCTGGTCTATCTCCATTATTTATAATAATAAAAAATGAAAGAACAACTGAGATGAGGGAAAGGAGTGAGGCGTCTGTTAGGGTCCCCGTGCAATACGCCCGGTGCGGTGACTGACCTCATCGCCGCTAGCTGGAGAGCTGGTTCACCCGGCTGACGACCTTCTGTACCTCCTCGGCGGAGAGCGGGTGGCCGTTGGTGGCCCGCTGCAGCCCGTCCCGGTAGCCGGCCGCCCCATCCGGCGACACACCCTGGGGAGTCATAGCATAACACTCAGGCAGGTTCAGGATTCAGTCCGACACACAGAACCGTCCGGCGACACGCCCTGGGGGCGACACATGGGCGCGCTCAGGGCTCAGGTACAGGTCTCGCGAGATTAAGCGGTAGGTTTTGCACTTTTACATTTCCGGTTATATCTCAGAAACTAATCGATCTACGATGAAGCCATTTTACACGATCATGGCCGGCTTATTACCCAACAAGTCGATCGCATCTTAGGTTAGGTTAGGTTAGGTTAGGTTAGGTTAGGTTAGGTTAGGTTAGGTTAGGTTAGGTTAGGTTAGGTTAGGTTAGGTTAGGTTAGGTTAGGTTAGGTTAGGTTAGGTTAGGCAGTGGTCGATAAAACTTCCAACGTGCCAACGCTCGTTGGAGCAAGATCTTAGCAATACTTGGAAGAGCTGGAGACAGTCCGCCCGTCTACATGGATGCTTCCTTACGCCTAAAATACAGCATTGACTTATGACTTTCTAATCGTCCGGTGCTGTTATCGGCTGCTCGGTACCGCGTGTATGTATGTTCCCTCATTCACTCCTGGTCACCCTTCGGTCACCCCTCGCTGGGTCGGGCCAGTCGGCTATTTTTATCCTCTTTCCGGCTAGGCCACCCGCTAAGCTCCCGCCGTGCCGCGCCGTCTGCGAGGGACCTGACCCTTCTGCCGGCAGAGGTTTCTCCAGGTGTCTCCAAGGAGCCATCGTAGCGCTAAGGGTGTGCTCCGCATACACATGCATTGATTTTCGCCCTTACTAGCAGGGCCGCTGGCACGCGTTGGCAGCGCCCCGCGGGCATTTTTTCGCTTAGGGTCATTTTGTGGTAAGGAGGATCAGAAAATCACCCTTCCAACTTTCTCCAGGCCTGGGTGTTTTATCGAGCGCGCCTGAAAACGCACAGTGGACCGGAATCACACTTCGATTGCGTTACTTCGTATGAGGTAATACGATCAAAAGTGCGCTCTTTTCTCAATCAATAAGGACAAGTGCGTTAAAACACACTTATAAAGTTTTAAGTTAAAAGCTTTAAAATGCTAAATTTCAACATTTCTACGCTGATGATAATCGTTAGTTTTTTCAGACTTTGGCATGAAAACGTAGGCATTCAGATCCACCGTGTGACCGGTCACCGTATGCAGTAGTGTGATGGTGTGAGTTGGGGAGTCAAGGCCGTGTGGGGAGAAGGTGAGGAGATGCCGGTGTGCCGACGCGGCAATTGGCAGTGATTAGACAGTTGTGCATGCATTGTTCATCTAGCATATCATTTGCTTGGGCAAATTTATAGGCATGGCGCCTGTTTATCCGTCTAATTCAAAGGAAAGGTGTGAGTACCAATACTGGTCGTACTTTTCATAGTCATAGTCCAGGTCCTGAAATGACTGGCACCTGAAATTTTCAGGATATGTCGCAAGAGGCTCATTCCCAGACGTTGTGCCAAATTTTGCGGCGCGACGCGACACCACCTTTTACGCTATTCGCGAAAAAAAAAACTTAGGGAGGCTGCATCCCCCCTCCCGCCAGGCGAGGGCTAAGTTGGAGACAGTGATGGGACTAAGATGTTCGTTGGAGCAACTCCAAGCATTTTATCGACCTCTGAGGTTAGGTTAGGTTAGGTTAGGTTAGGTTAGGTTAGGTTAGGTTAGGTTAGGTTAGGTTAGGTTAGGTTAGGTTAGGTTAGGTTAGGTTAGGTTAGGTTGGTTAGGTTAGGTTAGATTAGGTTAGGAGGTTAGGTTAGGTTAGGTTAGGTTGGGTTGGGTTGGGTTGGGTTTGGGTTGGGTTGGGTTGGGTTGGGTTAGGTTAGGTTAGGTTAGGTTAGGTTAGGTTAGGTTAGGTTAGGTTAGGATAGGTTAGGACAGGTTAGGTTAGGTTAGGTTAGGTTAGGTTAGGTTGGGTTGGGTTGGGTTGGGTTGGGTTGGGTTGGTTTGGGTTGGGTTGGGTAGGTTAGGTTAGGTTAGGTTAGGCTAGGTTAGGTTAGGTTAGGTTGGATTGGGTTGGGTTGGATTGGGTTGGGTTAGGTTGGGTTGGGTTGGTTTGGGTTATGTTGGGTTGGGTTGGGTAGGTTGGGTTGGGTAGGTTGGGTTGGGTTAGGTTAGGTTAGGTTAGGTTAGGTTAGGTTAGGTTAGGTTAGGTTAAGTTAGGTTAGGTTAGGTTAGGTTAGGTTGGTTAGGTTAGGTTAGGTTAGGTTAGGTTAGGTTAGGTTAGGTTACGTAAGGTTAGGTTAGGTAAGGTTAGGTTGGGTTGGGTTGGGTTGGGTTGGGTTGGGTTGGGATGGGTTGGGTTGGGTTGGGTTGGGTTGGGTTGGGTTGGGTTAGGTTAGGTTAGGTAAGGTTAGGTTAGGTTAGGTTAGGTTAGGTTAGGTTAGGTTGGGTTATGTAAGGTTAGGTTAGGTTAGGTTAGATTAGGTTAGGTTAGGATAGGTTAGGTTAGATTAACCTAACCCAACCATAACAAGCCTAACCTAACCTAACCTAACCTAACCTTACCTAACCGAACCTAACCTAACCTAACCTAACCTAACCTAACCTAACCTAACCTAACCTAACCTAACCTAATTTTGACGTGATGTACCGAAAAGCAGCATGGGGTTTCATGCCGGCCCCCGCCGAAGTTAGTTGGTAGCACTGCTGCTCCACGGCGTACATTTCCTACCAGCCCATAGGGTTTACATGTTAAATGACCTGTTTTCGTCGAGCGATATCTCGGTCAACCTTTGAAGGAATCAATGGTTCTTAGTCTCAAATGATAGATCGATGAATTTTCTTTCGACAATTCCTCTACCATTTTTCACGAAACCCAGCCGAACTTCTACGGCGTACAGGGTAAAGATTTCTCTGCACGCCAGCACCCGCGATCCGGCTCTCCGATCGTAAGCGCGCGGTCCTCGGTAGCGCAGTCGGTAGCGTATCGGGCTACGGATCCGAGGGTCGTGAGTTCGAATCCTGGGAGCGCCGCGTGATTTCGGCTAGAATTGAATGATGTAGATTCTTGAATGTTTGCATAATCAATTATTAATAGCTAATTGAATGTATCTGCCCACTAATCAGCCTCTAAAGCCTGGTGCTCCTGGGCGGGCTGGCCGTCGGTCGCGGCCGAGACCAGCACCGCCTGGTCAGCCGTCACCTGTAGGGCGCACGGGGAAAAGGGATACAGTCAGGAGCCGCGGCCGTAGTTATTCATTTCCAATCGACAATAGGGCATTGGAGCAGTGTTCCCGCCACTTCTAATGAGTAGTTATGTCGAGCCTACCACAGTGTACTTCACAACTAGAAAACGCACTCAACAATAATCACACAACAACGGCACACTCTCAGGGCCATTTTAACAAAACACCCGCGGTTATAATTAGCATTACTCGGTATAATGACTGACCGTGCATCGTGTGTGGACGTGGCAGTTGTAGAGCAGCGCAGCGGTCGGCCGGCGCCGCTCAAGCTGGGAGACACACCGGCACAGCCGGGACGGGTACATGGGCTGCTGCTCGTTCCACTGGATCGTCTGACAGCGCAGCTGGAGACGCACCTCACCGGCCTGAGGACGGGGGAACCGGGACAGATAAACAATACACCAGCTGAATGCTGGGAGACGCACCTCACCGGCCTGGGGACGGGGGAAGACTGGGTGATACAACCGGGACAGACAAATAACACAGCTGCTGTAGACGTATATACCTCCCCGGCCTGGTGACCGCGCGCGGGTGATGCGACATCATAGATCAACAGCGATCAGCCGGATCATCGGAGCAAAAAAGCACGCATCTCAGGAGCCCATCTCCTTGCAAGTCTGCGATCATATCTCAACGCCTAACTGCAGCAGCTCTTCAAACAATGCAGCTGATGCTGCCTTTTCGAACATCCCCGCTATGCACGGACCCGCGCCGCCCAGCTCCCCGTTGGCGGCCACCACTGTCAGCCGCCGCCCCTTCCTCCGCTGCGCGGAGACCCACCTTTTCCAAGTCTCCATGGCCAGCCACCACGGTGACTCGCGGCTCCAGCACCGTCAGCTACAGGCCGCGAGCCGGGGTGTTGGGCTCCAGCGCCGCCGCCTCTCCGTGCGGCACTGGGCCCGGGCGGGCCTCTCCGTCCGCTGCGGGAGAGGGCAGAGGGTAGAGGAGAAGGTCAGGGCGGGCCTCCCCGCCTGCAGCAAAACAGGGGGAAGGAGCGGTCAGGTGGGTCTCCCCGGCCGCTGCAGGAGAGGGCAGAGGGGCGTTAGTGATAGTGGGCAGATGAAACGGAATGTTTATTTCAAAGATATACGCTTTTTCACTAGTACGGCAACTACACTTCTCAGAGGTGAAAATCGCTGATATAATTGGGACGCACTGCCGAAAAAGAAGGAACTTGCAAGTCACAAGTAGCGATGGGGACGACTCATGAAGAACAGTGCATCATGTTAAACAACTTCAAGCTAACTCTGAGCGCTACTCAGTACACACTACTCACCCTGCTGGGGCCGGCTGCAGGGCGGGTATTGGTACTCACTACTCACCCTGCTGGGCCGGCTGTAGGGCGGGTAGGTGACGCTGTGCGCCGCCGTCAACAGGTGACTGAGCTGTCAGAAAGTCACACGTCAATAAACGAGTCCTTTCTACACGCTGCGTCTAAATCACTCTAATGGACGTTACAAAAACACGCCAGGATTCTACGATCCTTGTCCAGTTTCTGCAGCAGCAGCGCGAGTCACTGGCAGCGCTGTTGCTGCCAGACGACGGCCGTCGGCGCCCGGCGCACGCGCGCCGCGCACCGGTCGGCGTGTCAGCTGGTAGCGGCTGTGCGCTGCCAACGCCGGCGCAGCAGCTGGCGGAACACGACAACCTGGCGGGACGCATGGCCGGGTCAGAGGGGGAGTGGGAGCCGACAGGGTCAGCCACATCACAGTGGATGCCTACCTCACCCCACACTGACAAAGTGCCACCATGCCAGGAAAATGTTTCACCTCAGAACAGCATGAACCTAGAAAGAAAACAGGATTGCATAGCTCCTGTGTAGAATAGTCATAGACATAAAGCATAGACTCAAATTATTGAGCCATAGCCAAGATTTTACTGAGGGAGGGGCCACAGGTCGCGGCCTAGTGTCGTACCCCCTCCAAAAAGGAAAACTCGGATTTGGCCCACTATTTTTGGGGGTATGGTACAGCTGTTTTTATTTATCTTTATTTTATTTTATTTCTCGCCTTTAGGGTAGACCATGACAGCCGTGGCCACTCCCTTGGCTACATCCCTAGATTGAACGAAGAAGCAAATTGAAGAAGCAGCTTTGACCATAAGCGCAAACATAACATGGAACAGACTACATTTTTATGCAGTATGTTATGAAGTCAACATTGCATGCTTTATATAGGCAATCTAATCTTCACCAATCCATTTTGTTAAGCACTTATCTACTTTTCTAGTTTCAATTGATTGGTCAATGCTCGTATACATAATTATCAGCATTCAAATATATGATGCTGAGACCTGTTCAATCTCTGACCAACTCCCTGTATCATACAAAAGAAATAATTGTAGCATTATGCATAGGGTCATAACTTACTGATCACTTTCTGTCAACAGCCTGCAAGCAGCATTGCGATCTTCCCTCCGCAGTGACGGAGACCTCTGTCATGTGCGCATGGTGTGTTGTGTTGTGTTTGCATTCAAGAAATTTCAACAGCTAAAAAGGAAAAACAAAACATTTCTTTAAATACCTGCATGTTTGCTATTATAGCAAGCTAGGATGCAATGAGTATAAAAGTATACAAAAATCCCAATCAATAGGTTCGGAATGGAATAGGTTGTGAGGTGTTAGGTACTGTAGTAGGCTGGTTGAAAGGTTTGTATGTTGTAGACATCTGGCATGGGGGTTTTAGGTTGGTATTAAGGGTATTACAAACTTTTTAGGAAAGTAGGTAAGGTTAGGTCAGGAATGTTGGTTATTTTCATTCAAATTTCACACTTGTTCACTTTAATTGTATTCCAAATTGACACAAATTTTTAAAAGTTATGGTGAAAACATGTTCCTTTCCTATGTGAATTGTGATGTTAGTATTTGAATTTTATCAAGGCCCTATGAATTTTATATGCAGGAAGTCAAACATACTTGACTATCATACCAAGATACCTATAAGAAACAGGTAGGTCCGATGTGGTCCGATGTTTTGAGTAAAGCCCTGGTGACGTCACAGACGTTTCTTAAATGGAGAATTTCGCCTATAAGAAAAATATTTTACAAACGAAAATTTGTGTTCTATTAGGAAAAAATACAATCTTTCAATTTCATCATGAAACTTATATAAATTAATTACAAAACTTGAAATCCTGTGAGTGTTTGTCCCAACCCCCTGCTATACCTTTGGTCACGTGACTGCCATGATAAACTTTGCGTTTTGCAATGTTATGACTAAAACTTTAGTAATAAATGTTACACGTGTATTATTTATGATCTCTTAGGCAGCAATCGTGTAATTATATTCCTAAAATATATACAACCTGTTGAAAAGAGGTCACGTGATGTTACCAAATTGTGCTCTGACAGCATCTTCTTGAACTTCGATTTTGAGTACTTTGTACCTTCATTGAGGCCTAATAACGGACGTTTTTAGTTATGAAATGAAACAATGAAGCTAATGAGGGCAAAATTTAATCATTTTTGCACTTTCAGGCCGGGCTATCCTGGCATGAACTTCAGCCAGTTTGTGTGTTAAGCCTATGGTGAAGGGAAAACTTCACGCCCGGCTGACGTCACAGACCTCGGCTACCAAATCGTGTCCGGTGGGGGTCGTATCATACCACCAACTACAAAATGCCCAATCTGAGACGCTTTTGTTATTGTATGAGCCGCGTCATATTTGAAAGCAAATATATTTGCTGCCAAATTTCCCCCTTCATTGGCATGAAGTAAATCCTTCATTACGTCACAGATCCGATCTAAATGACGTCACGATGAAATATTAAAGTCGCAATATTTCAAAAAGTATACAATGAAAACGCGTAAAAACTTGCAGAATTCGTCACAGTGCCCTAAGTAACATTTCCGAATCCTAAACGGGATTTTTTCGAAGGTGGGATAGTCCCTTTAAGAAATTTAATAATTGAATGTCACGTGCGCGTCACGACTGCCAACCATAAGCGCTACCATATTCTAGTTTGAACTAAGTTTTTGCTAGTCCCGACCACATATAGTAGGTTTTCTAGTAGTTATACTAGAAATTCCTACCAAAGTTCGTCCTACCCTTCACTCAATATACCCTGGTTTCATGCAGCGTTTAGATGCATCCACCAACGCGATCATCAATGTCCCGGTTGACAGTGACATACGCCGGCGATCACCGCTAAGAGCGGCATGGAATGATGCTCTGGGAGTGCCATGAATCTTCATGTTATGTACAGGGTGTTTCACTAAAAGTGTCAAAAAGTAAATGCCTATTAAAGTTATATAAAATATGCAAATCACGTGGTTGCGCACGTGGCTTGGTTGCAAATTTTTGGACATTTATGCTTTGTCCATTTAAGATATATTTTACACTCATACGGAGCGAGGGCAGGAGGCCAAAGTTAGGGTAAGTGGCTCCTATCACGCACACCTAGTAGGAAAACTGCTTTTGAGACTTACTGAAACCTGTTTTGCTGATAAAATGGTCACAAGCAGTTTTCATAAGCATTTGCTTTCTTGATTTGACTTTTATGTTCCAGCGTTCCTTCATCATTTATGACATATAAGGCAAAACCTCCACCAACGTCCGACGTGCGCTAATAGAGCACCGGTGCTCTTATGACGCACATTCAGCTGCTTCAAATGCGCACAAGAACAATTCCAACAGGTTTAATAAACATGTCGAGGTATTGATCAAATCACTTTATTTTAAAGTTGAACACCATAAGCACATCATGAACTTTGAACTCGACACATCATAAAACACACCATGAACATGAACGCATCATGAACACATCATGAACTCGAAACCTTTTCACTGACTCAGTATCTACTGTCGGCAGAGGTCACAAGTGAAACTTGTCTGTTTTGTTTCAGCGTCAGTGCATGGCACGCATGCCCAGCCAGTGCACATTTGACATTGTATCCACTCTTCACACGATCGTGAGAACTTCATGCAGCAGTATATGCATGTCGTCTCACTTCCTGATGACTGGTCTTCATTGGGCTTTACCTTACCTGTTTTATTTTCACGTGTCCATGTTAAGCTGTTTTCTTTGTTTTTTCCTTGTTACCGTCGGACTCAAACAATGCCCTCTTTACCAGCACAGCATCTCTATTAACTGTCCTTCGCTCACCTTTCCTCTGCACGCGAGGGGTTGGCATCACGTCATGCAGACTTTTATCTAGTTCTTCGTCGTCCCGCATGGATACGGAGTCAGCACGAGATGTTCCATCGGCCGAGCTCCCGGGCCCGGCGTCACCAGCCGAGCGCCCGGGCCCGGCGTCACCAGCCGAGTGCCCGGGTCCGGCGTCACCAGCCGAGCTCCCGGGCCCGGCATCACCAGTCGAGCGCCCGGGCCCGGCGTCACCTGCCGAGCTCCCGGGCCCGGCGTCACCTGCCGAGCTCCCGGGCCCGGCGTCACCAGCCGAGCGCCCGGGTCCGGCGTCACCAGCCGAGTGCCCGGGTCCGGCGTCACCAGCCGAGCTCCCGGGCCCGGCGTCACCAGTCGAGCGCCCGGGCCCGACTTCACATGCCGAGCGCCCGGGCCCGGCGTCACCTGCCGAGCTCCCGGGCCCGGCGTCACCAGCCGAGCGCCCGGGTCCGGCGTCACCAGCCGAGCGCCCGGGCCCGGCGTCACCAGCCGAGCTCCCGGGCCCGGCGTCACCAGCCGAGCGCCCGGGTCCGGCGTCACCAGCCGAGTGCCCGGGTCCGGCGTCACCAGCCGAGCTCCCGGGCCCGGCGTCACCAGTCGAGCGCCCGGGCCCGGCTTCACATGCCGAGCGCCCGGGCCCGGCGTCACCTGCCGAGCTCCCGGGCCCGGCGTCACCAGCCGAGCGCCCGGGTCCGGCGTCACCAGCCGAGCGCCCGGGCCCGGCGTCACCAGTCGAGCGCCCGGGCCCGGCGTCACCAGCCGAGTGCCCGGGTCCGGCGTCACCAGCCGAGCTCCCGGGCCCGGCATCACCAGTCGAGCGCCCGGGCCCGGCGTCACCTGCCGAGCTCCCGGGCCCGGCGTCACCAGCCGAGCGCCCGGGTCCGGCGTCACCAGCCGAGCGCCCGGGCCCGGCGTCACCTGCCGAGCGCCCGGGCCCGGCGTCACCAGTCGAGCGCCCGGGCCCAGCTTCACCTGCCGAGCGCCCGGGCCCGGCGTCCAGCTCCACCGCCGTTTTGCCAGCTCCACCGCCGGGAGTGGAGCTCAATGCCGCATTCTACACTGTGCCAATGCCTAACATGTCAATTCATCGTGATATAAGCTGTTCCTTGTAAGAAAGAAGGCTAGATAATCATCAAATGTACTGTGCGCATTTGCAGCACTGAAAGTGTGCGTCATTGCAGAACCAGTTGCCCTAAACACGCACACCTGACATTCAGCCCCCTCCCGTCAGCACTGACGCATTCTGGGTAAAGCATGCACGCCTAAACTGAGTCCCGTTTCATTGCCATCCGGTCAGTGCCCATCGATCTTTCCGGCCTATTCAGGTTTACGCGAGAAGTGCATGCGTCTTAAAACATGCATTATTGCTTCAGCCACTTTTTTGCTGAAGAAACATTGCACCTCAATCACAATATCCGCCATAACTACTCACCTTTTGAGCCGACAACACCCCACCGCCGTCCACACGCAGCACAAATGTCGCTGGAAGTGATTGACAGCTGATTTTTTCGTTCCTGGCTTCTGCTGAAGGAACTACATTAAAAAAAGTTATTGGTGTGCGCTTTTAGGAAGTGTGCGTCATAGGAGCCACTTACCCTACTAGTCGTTTTTTTCCTTATGCAGATCAAGAACAGGTTATTTACACCGCAACAGGAGGGGTAAATTACACTTACATTTGGTGCCATCAGAAACATTGAAACCGTATGCCGACTTTTCAGGAAACGTTTTATTCTCTCACCTCGCTACGTTCCAGATTATAAAAGGTTCAAAGGGCTTCTTGAGAGGTTTAAAAGGGTTCCTTCGATGCCGGTCGCAGTCCAAAAAAGACGGGGTCCCCCACCTCTCGGCGGAAACCGTTGAAAGGGTCAGGGTCTTTTTGAGGGTCTTTGAAGATAACAAGAAGCTAATTTCAACATCAGAAATAGCCAAGGCCTTACAAGGGCGGCGCCACCGTGGGGGCAGTGGGGGCAGACTGCCCCCACTGGCAGGAGGCCGTGGGGGCAAGACTATGTTTTTGCCCCCACAAAATTTGGCTGATGTTGAAATGGGAACAGGAGACCGGTGCAACATTCATTATATGCCGTTTTCGCCTATTTTTGACGGTCCTCGTATCAAGTGCGTCAGCAGAACGTTCGTTCTCGGACCGTCTGTCGCATATCACCTACTCCCAGTCATTCTCCTACTCATTTTCATTCACCAGAAGGCTGCCCTCGAGCTTGATCTCGAGGAGGTTGAGAAGCAGTTTGTCAAAAGTCGGCCAGAGAAGAGATCACCCTCTTTTGGGAACCCTTAGACTGAGACTGAGCTCAGAGAGGTATGACGAAATGTGATAGGTATGTAGGTATATCCGGGTTATCTGGAATTGCATATGGGTCGCCCTAATGGAGCTTATTCTGGTATATCAATCGTGTGTGAGAGAATCGCAC